CATACATACATAATGTATATATATGTATAACAAGTGCTGTGACTGTGATTAAAGTGTACCGAAATCTACACGCTCTGACATGCATGCAAAGTGTCTCGACAAGGACCATAATTAACATGAAATAAAAACTCATAGTGAACGAAATACATTGTGTATTGTAAAAGACAATCTGCATGCAGTATTCGTACAAAGTAATAATTGTTTAGGTAAGATACCCCTGAACAAACATTTCTCTTAGACATCTTGTACGCTTACACAAATGTTTGACTTTTATTTTTTACACATTTATATTTGCTACAAATTTGTTTTGTAAATATAGTTTTTATATTAAGAGTAATTTCTAAGCATAAATTGCTTTGCATCCCAATTATATATATACCCCGATTATAAAAACTCCAATACATATTCCGTCCAGGCACGTTGATTAATCTTCAAATAAATTTCTGTCCTAAACTAAGGACTCAGTATGCTAGTTTTGCGGTTACATGGGAAAAAATGTTATAGTTTTTCATCGTAGATTTTTATGTACACAAATACTCGCGATTTGTATTCCGGTACCAGTTACCAAATCGCTATACTTATTACACAGAGTATTTTATAAATAAAATATCTGATACAAATAAGATTATACGTAGATACATACATTTACTACATGTATAAAGTTACATCTAAGAGTATACTATAATTTTACATACAATTATACGTGTAAATAAACACAACTATTGAATTTTAATATAGTGTTTAATCCAGTGTATCGCATATCATTATGTACACGTTTTATTGCATAATTGCTTGTTAGTATTTACACAGCATTACCACACATTTAATTCTTAATTTATACGTATATACAAGGCAAGTAGAAACGTTATTATTGTAAAGTACCTTCAAAGAAATAAATGGTCCAAGTATCGTAAAAGAATATATTTACGCATAGGGAAGAAGACTCGTTCCTTCACAGACACGTGAAGAATAAAAAACAATTTGTTCTTTTCCAAAATGTATTTACTTAAAAATACAATGAAAGTTCAATTCTGATGGAATGGGCAGAAATATAGTCTGTGGTGTCGGTTACTGTTACGTCGAAAGTGATGATGCGATGGTATCCTGTACAAAAGTAGTTTGAACAAGATTTATGAACACACAAACCAAATTCTTAGCCTAGGATTTTCGTTTACGTTTAATCGTAACAGGTGTCGTTACCAAATTCATTAAGTTTGTTTTTTTTTTTCAATGCTTACCTAACAAACGTAGGGATGTAACGGTATCTAGGCGATTAGCCTGATTGATTGATTGATTGATTGATTGATTGTAAGACCCGTTAGCACCAGTAAATAATTTCCAGAGTCACGTCAAGCACTCGAGCAGAGAAGAGTTCCGTGATCTCTGGCTTCGAGTACGAAACGGGAGTCCTTTTGTTATTCCTTTTGGACATGTTGCAAACGGGGCTCGGGAGTGTATTAATAAAATTAAATGGACCTATACTTATCGTGTATGCATTGTATACTATGAACGGTAAAGTACTCATTTTTGCTCAGGCACCTGTACTTGAAGATAGTTCTTTGTCAACGCATTTGTCAAGGTACTATCTTGAAGCGAACACGTGTAAAATACAACAATGGATTGTGTATAAAAGTGTAGAGTAACAGAGTTTTAGAGATGGGTATGGTCTGTAAACGGTACAATTATAAACTGCTAATACGTACGCCTTTTACGTATGATTACGATCCGGATTTGATGTTGTTGTAAACGTTACACGATCCATCCCATCTCGTTGGATTCAGTGTAGCAGGATACAGTTCACGAATAGCAGTTTTCTTTTTCTTTAATACTGCCATTTTTTGTAATTTATTTTCGGATGTATAACCCATTACTACTCACGAGAACGAATCATTTTCTCTGATCTAACTGCGTTTTATTTAACTATCTCATTCGAAAATATTTGTACATTAAAACGTGGGACATCGTCTCGCATTCAAATTATCGTTACTTTTATTTATTATGCAGCTATGGTACAATGGTATCGTAACCGCAATGTCTCTTCACCCTTTCTTGTCTACCAGTCTCCCCGAAATAAGTGGCAACATGGACGTTCCATTTGCAACGATCCACCGACCCTAGCACAAAGAGCATCTTTTTCATCGTTTGGTAAACAATGAATTGCATTTGAACTCATTAAAAAATTATATGATACCATTGGTAATTTCCACAGCTATATGGTCATTGATAAGACACTGATCACTATGCACAACGGCAACTGTCATAGTACAGAATACTGTCACTCGTTCTGCGACAGCCAACGAATCATTGCTATGAACAGTCCATGACAATGAAGTCAAAATAAAACCACGATACGTACAATACAAATTAATTACGCTCGAATAAGAGCAGTCGAATAGGGAGAGTACACATCGATATCGAGATCGACGGTTACTTTGCATCATTGTCAACGATTTTTTAAATTTGCCACGCGACTTGTCTCTTAAAGTTGTTACGTAACTACACAAACTTATGCTGTGTACAAATGGAATATAGTTGTTTTTAGAGAAATAAAACATTAATCTGCGGTATTTGCACCTCGTAAAATAAACATTCTCTCCCTATTCTGTGCCCTAAGCCTAAAGTGTAACACTTGTCCACATTACATTACGTTACATAATATTATCGTTAATAATAAAATGTTTCTTATTCCATAACTTTATACATGCTATGTATAATTATTATGCAATGTTAAAGTCACACATTACACATCCACACTACCCGGCGCGAGCGTTGCATTAACCTTAATTCCTGTTTTTCTTTACCTTTTCTTAAATCGAACAGGAGTGCGCAGCAGTTTTTAGACTCTGTTTAAAATTCTCTTTCAGTGTATATCGAATATCGAGACATGCCCGTTCGACTTTGTCTATTTTTGTTTTAAATACATACTTGTCTACTCGTTTTATACAAGTAAAGAAGTAGGTAATCGAACAAAATAGGAAAAAAATTGAGCCGCCCGCGCTCCTGCAATGTCGTTGCAAATACACATACAGATCGAGAAAAGGAAAATCAATCACGCGCACAAGGTGAGAGACATTCGTCGAACTACAAACATAAATTTGATTTCAAATGTAAAAAAATCACCCACAAATGTTCATTTTACACTATTTAAATACAATAGAGCTTTTCATATCTTAAATAAGTTTCCTTTATAAAACTGTCCCGCGGAGAAAGCCAGATGACGGCAAATACCAATTAGTAGGTGGTTTGGATAAAACCGATAAATTCGGCTTGGGATCGTTGACGATGTATCGAGAGCACGGTTGCCAATCAGATATACATGAGATATTAAATCGACGTTCTCACGACGAATATATGGTTTTCAATTCAAACTACCTAACAAAGTATTTGGTGATGGCTAGACGACCAGAATTGCAAAGAGCCAAGACAGTAGAATCGCGGATGCCCTCTAATGCGTGTCAGCCCACCACAACTCTGGTGAGGTGGTAATTTTTATTTTGTAGGTCGGGAGGTTCCAGCAATACGGTATAGGGCACGATGGATATCAACATTGCTACCAACCACTCAATATGAGAGTAAGCGTTTGCTGAGAAGACTGCCGAAGATCGACGACGGCGACTCCATGTGCCTACCTCCTCCCTTCGTACTTACATACCTCCTTCCCTTTTTTCATTATGCGTCTTCCTCTTCGTCCTCTACTTCTCCTTCTAATTCACCTTCTACGTCATCCTCCTCTTCATCTGCAAACCAACAAGTAAACAAGATTCGAGTGAAACATATCTATCTAAATATGAGAATATCGATTCGCACGCTATTAATGGACAATTCGTCTACCTTCGCCCTCTTCTAAATCTTCCTCGCATTCTGGCATTTCGTCTTCCTCGTCGTCCTCTTCGCCATCGCCGTCGACTTCATCTTCATCTTCTACCTCCTCCTCTTCTATTTCCTCCTCTTCCACTTCTCCGTCGCCGTTTTCTTCCTTCTTCTGTTTTTTTGGTTCGTCATTCTTTTCCTGCAACAGAAAATTATGGACTCACATTACGATACAGTACGTAACAGTATGTATAAGTACGGAGACTCGAAAAGAAGATAAACATTCCTGTGTTTGCAACCTAAACAAATATAGAAATTGACCACTTCCGTTTAAATACTTGCCATTTATCGTACACGCGAAATTAATCGTTCCAGAAAGAAGGTGGGAGAACTTGACAAATAGGGGAAACCCTGACAATGAGCTAAAGATAAAGAGGGGGAGTGCAAAAGGATGAAGAGGATTCCCTTCGCGCCAACAAACGTAAGGACATGGAAAAAAAGGTAGAGGGGACCTTCCGTTAAAAAATGGCGGAACAGGAAAACGCAAAGAACGATAGGGGGGAATTGTATTCGCTAGAGACCGGCAATGCTAAACACGAGAATGGAAAAATATACCTCTGCTTATAAATAATTTAAATCAAAGACATGCATGTATAACAATCGTTACAAGTTAAATCTTCGTAAATCAATATATATATATATATATTGATTCCCATTAAAAGAAACTATCTTTTTCATTGGTTTGTAATAAAACGTCAACATTTCTACTCTATTTGTTCTCTCGAGGCGAATGTTTGACTCTCTATTCTTATCGAGTGGCGTTGACAAGAAACTTACGGTAGATTTCCATAAAATCTGCGCTGCGATAAATAAAAATAATGGTAAAGTTCTGAAAGATACACGACAGTTTCACACGATCCTCGAAATACCGCGACACCTTCGACTTGTGTTCATAGAGCGTTACTCGTTCACAGGGTGGTGGGTCGCGCGTCGTAAAGGTATACACACGCGCCGTGTGTATTGGCGGCATGAGGAAAGAGGGCATAGAAAACTCGCAGGACTGCACCGTCCAATCAAAGGGAGGAATCGACTAAGACCGGAGTGGAGGGGGAAGCGTAGGGATTGGCAGACGGTACGCGACACATGTTTGTAGAAGGGATGTGTTCGTGCTGCGTAAAGCGGACGAAAGGGGAGGGCAGGGAAAAGAGAAGCACCAAACACAGCGTGCCCGGGGTATCGTGCACAGAGCCTAAGCCGCTACAGTTTCAAATAAAGTACGAGCTAATGGGGGGGGGCGGGGGGGGGAGCGAGAAAAATAAAAGAAAGAACGTACAATCTATACTTCGAGTTACCAGAGCAAACAAAACGCACGCGTACATGCTAAAATAAACGAATTCTGACACTCTCTAATCGTCGCTGGCGTTAAAAGTTGTAACATCATCGAGTTCGCGTCGCTTCAAGGTAACCATGTCTCGTATTATCAAGCGTCTTTATCAAAAGAAACGTAATATCTCATTTCATAAAACTTGGAGGCTAAGCATAAAATATCGATATCGTTTACGGTTAATCGGACTCGTGGAACCAATAGAATGCGTTTACCTTAACACTGTTTATAAACTGGTGTGATGAAACGCGAATGAAATGTATGTTGATTACATGGATAATGTATAGGTGGATACTGTACTAGGATATCATACGATGCCGTGAAAAAGCAACTTGTATAATTCGATCGCACTTTCTTCCAAGTAGAATTTGTTGGAGACTGCTGTCGCTATGCATTCATGGCGTTGTCGGGTAAGTTTACAACGAACGGTAAGTGACAGTGACGTATAGGCACCAATGGTCACGAAATGACGATGCTGTCTGTCGTGAAAGTTTCTACTCTATTTGCTCTCTTAAGGTTATCCCACAGACACGATTATCTATCGACTTGTTATTAATCACGAGGTCTTTCCAGATAACCCAACGTTCATAACCTATCGTATAAACTCATTTTCGCTCGATTCTCTTGGTCGTACGGGTAAGCCATGAATAATCGTTATATAATTCTTCTGTAACACGTATTAATTTGACCATATTCGAGCTACCAGGGGCATCTCTGTTCGCGTGTTCGCTGATGGGAACCACAGACGTCTATTCGATAGGAAAGAATTTGTAAACGTGTAACAATGATTCGAGCTACGAATAAACACGTAATTAATTATCGTCGTAACGAACCGACACTCTCTTATTAAGTTCAACGTTGAATTGGGTTAAGTACATCAAAATGACTAATTAATAAGTATCATACCGTTACTCGCCGATACAATAATACAACGATCCACAAGTTGTTTGGACTAAACTTTGTAAACAAAGTACTGTCAAGATCAGTTTTCTATGAGTTCTCGATACATTTAAATTCGAGTAATTCGTAACTCCCGCCTTTTTCCACTCCTTCCTCTTTAATCCATACGCGCTTGCGTCACAGGATGTCTACGAGTACGAATTTACTACGTGACTACGTAATCGGAGTACAACGACGATACGAATCGCAAAACTAAATGTCGCGAACCCAGGAATTCCGTAAACTCGAAACAAGTCCCCCACCCCATTTTCTAGTCGATGTATAAACAAACAAGGACAGATACGATGCTAACGACGATTGATAGATAACGTGATAATCAATGGTACAATATGTTTCGAAACAGGTACACAATGGTGGATTTCCATGTGACATACTCACTTACCGTGAAGACGCCAACACCACGGATTTTCTACGGTACGGTGCCAATGAGAAGCGTGGCGATACCGGCATTTTCGGTAACCGAGTTTCACCTCGCGACTCCCATAATAGTGGAGGCGGTGGAACGCGTATTATCGACTAAAAATAAGTTGCTCCTATCAGGACACGCTGAACGACGTTCCGATTTAAGATGAAAAATCGTGTCGATGTTTTCTCAAAGGTTTGTATAACACCGGCGCGGCATACTACGAAAGAATAGGGAGGCAGGAGAGGACACGGGTATATAATACATGGCGTTGCCGCTGGCTGCGCGCGTGGGGTTCTCAAGGGAGAGGGAGACAGACATAGGTCCGACTCGGTGGACTCGAAGACAGGAGGGGATAGAGAGAGAGAGAGAGAGAGAGAGAGAGAGAGAGAGAGAGAGAGAAGCAAAGCGAGGAAGGAAGCCTTCGGCGCGGTGTTTATGCACGCAGATCGGTAAACAATTTCAGAGCAACACGTCGGTCTCGAAAGAGATATATGTGTTCGTCTATCGATCGTCTGTCGGACACGATTAACCCTCTTACAACGAATTATCGATCAATTACGACACGGAAAGGGAGAGCGACGGATATACAAAGAAAAGAGACGAGAAAACGAAGGAAGGGAGAAAAGATAGGACGAGCGCGAGCGAGATAGCGTAACGAACGCGGGCTTGGTTTCGGGCGCCATAATGGAAACCCGCGGCGGCGGCGGCGGCGGTGGTGGTGGTGGCGGCAGCAGGCAACGACGGTCGGAAAAATGCGCGGGATACTCGCTTTTCCTACCTATAACTACGATATTCTAGATTAAAAATGGCGTCCATCTTGTGGATAGATTGGCTCGACGATGTAAATTATACTTGCGTCCGGGGCAACTCTTTACAAACACCGCCGTAAACCTATTACGTTACCGAAACGTATAATAATGAAACGAGCACATGGCGCTAGTAGCTAACATCCCGCCCGAATTATGCGTTCACTTTATCATCTCGTTGCGAATGGAAACAGAGTCGATTCCGATATTAGCTGGTATCCGTGAAATCCAGATCGGTAATTATAGACGGCATTGTAAAGACAGGGGTGATCAACCGACTGAACCCATCGTGCTCGTGGCAGTCACGCGAAATACGATGGCGTCCCTCGACTCTCGATTGGAAAAACATCGCGTTCAGTGTGTTTTCGGAGGGAAAACGACGAGAACGATTACCTTTTCTCGACACCAGAAAAATGTAGGAAAATGCCGGCCGGCGTTCTATCTTCTTCGCGCCCGTCAATCGGTCGAAACGGGACACCCGACTGCCCGCCCACCAGTTTGGTCCCGAGAATATACGGTATCACGTACAAACTTTCAAAAGCATGTTTTACCTCGAACGAATTATCATTCATGCGTAAAGCCCAGCGAGCGGGGAAAAATAGACGACAGAAATGGTAATCACAACTGCGAGAATTACAATTGGAGCTGTATCACGAACGCGAGGATTTCGTGAAATCGTAGACGATGATGCCGTGACCGAGCAGCGTGGCGCGGAAGCGTGGTGTATGCCGGCGTGTAATATGTACGTGATTTACGTGTGTACATGTATCCTTACATAGCAATCGCGGCGATTGATCGTGTAAATGATATACCGTGAAATCGTGTGAAAACGTGAGAAAAAAAAAAAACAAGACACTACTCACCTCGGCCGGCCTCTTGATTCCTTTGATCTCACACTTCGCGTCCCCGGAAGCCTTATCGTTTTCGGTCACCTTCTCGACAGCGACCTCGTTGTTTTCCTTAGTGCTCATTGTGGATACGTGCTCGTTGGGCAAGATGCCTGCGTGTCCGCTTACAAAACGGTGGAAAAAGATGGAACGGTGCGTGTGTACACGTAACGAAAACTCAGATGTCCTCGCGCGGCGTCGGTTTCCGGCGAAATGCCCGAGAGAGCAGCGTCGTCAGGCGAAAACCCAAGGGGCAAGGGCGGGGGGTGGGGGGTGGGGGGAGTGAGAGAAAAAGATAGAGAGAGGGGAAAGGAGGATGAGACAGAGAGTCGAACCAGTCAGGAGTAGAGAGTGCCGTGTACTGACGACTGTGGCGCGAATAGCGCAAAGCGGACTACTACCCGGTCTCGGTTCGCTCGTAGCACATCCAACCTGGCTTTGTTCAAAAATGAAGATGGCGCGGGTTTGAAACTCGATAAATGCCTGATTGGTTGAAACCTTGATGCCCTTTCGGGACGTGTCACTGCGCCTAATTGGGAACGTTATAACGCTACATAAACTTTTATTATTTCTTGCGAACGTTTTCCACGTAATGCGTCCACCTGAAGTATAAATAAAATTAAATCCTGCGGAGGACGAGGGGTTCGAGAGTTCGTGGCCTGGTTTTGCCGTCCGGTTCGAGGCTAAGTCGCTCGATTCAAATAAGCTACGACGCTGCGAACCATTTGTTACCTTTTTCAACGCAAACTTTGCGAAAAATCGATAAATATACCATTGTAACAGACAAATTTTTTATAAAAAAATATCGTCGTCCCCTTGTAATCTCAAAATCAGTACCTCGAATCCCGAATTTCGTGACGATATAATCTGGACATCGTGGCGGGAATTATCCCGTAGGTGAAAGAGTCTGAGTTTTCGGATTATGCGAACGCACATCTATCAGTCAAAATTTCACATCGAAAGCACTGCTTTCTAAATTATTAACATCTAATCGATCAAACAGATCTCCCTTTTTCGAGAGCGTTTCTACTAACTAAATACAATCTGAAATAATAAATAGTATTGGTAAGTGCTGCACTGTTAAAATAATCAATTATTACGAATCGTGAATGAAGGATAACGACAGCAAAAAGTGTCAAGACATAATTGCTGTTATTGATTGGACATCTTATATGTTAAACCGATTTTGACGCCGGCTGTTAATGGCGTATATGCAATCGAAATTTTGCGTTCAAAGGAATTCGAAATAATTTTACTCGTTTTTACAGTGATTTTATACTCTGCAAAATGTACAGAGTAAGATCATATTAAGCAATGAATTAATGTTTATACCCTTAAATGGGAAAGGCACGTTAAATTTCTAAATTTTATACGACGGATAACAATATGCGCACGCGCGGTATGTGCATACATACCAATTTCCGGTTAAAATACATTTCCCCTTCTTTCTAAACACCCAAGATGGTAGGTACATCTCCATTCAAAAATATGAGTAATTCATCTGAAATTGTGCTTGTAATCCTTCAACAATGTTGCTTCTAAGGTTTAGTTTTGTATACTAGATTTCATTTCCTGAAAAACGAACGCAAAATTTTACATTTTTATCAAACATCAATAATTGTCGAATCAGTGAAAACATAACCTCGAAAAGTGACATGAGTCTGTATAATATTCTTTTACTTTTTCGAGTAAAAATATGGAAACCAATAATTAGAAACAAACTAAATAAGTGCGTCAAAGTACACTAACGTTGAAAAATATTAATTTAAAATGTACAAGTTCAGGGTTATGGTTACTTGACAATGAACTTTGCATGTGGCTATAATGTTGTACATTTTTATTTTTTCAGGTGAACGTTCCGAAACAGAGACGCACTTTTTGCAAGAAATGCAAAGTACACAAGCCTCACAAAGTGACACAGTATAAAAAAAGTAAGGAACGACATGCATCTCAAGGTAGAAGACGTTACGACCGTAAACAACAAGGATTTGGTGGCCAGACCAAACCTATATTCAGAAAGAAGGTGGGTATTGTTAAATAATGATCAATTACTAGCGGATACGACTGATTTTGATTTATTTATAATTCGCAATGTTCCTTCTAGGCAAAAACTACAAAGAAAATTGTCTTAAGAATGGAATGTACAGAATGCAAGTATAGGAAACAAATTCCTCTTAAAAGATGTAAACATTTTGAATTAGGAGGTGACAAGAAAAGAAAAGTAAGTAATTTTAGCTTTAGTATTTGTTGATTATTTTATGGATTACTATAGCGTTGATTAACATATTTTTAAATGTTCTTTTAGGGACAAATGATCCAGTTCTAGGGTCAAGTTATCTACATTGACCTTCTGTATGTATTTAATAAGAAATGAAATAAATCTTTTGGAATTTGTATAGTTGTTTATTTTATTTATTGTATTTTATAATGCAAAAATATTTTTCATGCGTAATGTATAAATACAAGTAAATGTTTAATCTGCTTCTTCCTGTTGCTTAGAAACTATTTGCTGGGAACTGCTGTTAAAATAAAAAATAAGAATAATGTAAAGGTGACATCACCCCAAAAAAAAAGTTGTTTCATCAACTCTTCAATTTTGTTATGCTTCTTTGACAATTTTCATTTAAAGGAGTACATTTATGGTAATTCTTATTGTCGTACATTTTATTTATTAATTAGAACTTACTCCAATATAGACGAGTCCAAGCCCTCTTGCTCCATCATTAACTTGACTGCCTCTTTTCGTACACCGAAATGTACCATTTTGAAATATTTCTCATAACGTGGATCTTTATTTACCGGTTCTTGTTCAGTCTGTGTGCTTTTAGGGTCATCTTCAATGACATTATCAGATTCATCTATATTAGATACACTTGTTTCTTCTTGTTTAACATCGTTACAATTCACTGAACATTCTGTTTCCTGTTGTTCGTGTTCCAGACTAGGAACAGATGACAACTACAAGAAATCCATAGATTATTTGAATCTTGAAAAATTGTTAAACCTTTAAATCGTGTTTGTACCTTAATTAAAAAACCTTTACATACCCAAGATTCCAAAATTTCTATCGAAGCTTCGATCCTCTGTAACTTATTTTCAAATTCAAATAATTTCTCTTCGCATGATAATGTAAATTTATTGAGAAATGTTACAGTGTGGGCGATAAAATGATTTATAAACGATATAGTTCTTTTCTGATTAATTGGTGGAACCTAGGATGATTGAAAATAATATTAATGGTATGTATCGTCGATATGTTAATACTAAGAAAGATTAAAGACTGAAGACTAATATATTTCCACCTTCGTATAATCGATAGTTGGTTCGATTATCGGAATTTTGTAATCATTCATTGTACCACTATTTTCAAATGTTATTTCTCGTGTTTGTTGACCAACTGTCAAACGTTATAAACTTTCGATGCATTGCTCCCACAGATCATGTAGGACTCATGGTAGGATGGTTCATAACTAAGAACCGAAATTTCTCAACTATAGCGGGTACACGTATATCCTCTTGTGAACACTCTGCAGATAACGCACAGACGGCGGGGCGTTTGAAAAGTTTTTTTACATTGAAAATAATTTCATAAATTTACAAGTTACAAATACCAAGTGGAAAATAATTCAAACGCGTATCATGATCAAGATTGCAATACATTTGTAAATTCGATCTGTTAGTATGTTTTGCATTATGGATAAAATTTGCACCAAGTATAATAGATTATTAAACGTAAGAATGAAATGCTTGTATATAATATTGTGTTGGTAGAATTTTGCTTGATAAATATACAATTTTTGTAATTAAATCTGTAAACGATATCAGATACAGAGTACTGAAAAGAAACACTTTCTCGGCAACGGGCCAGCGGACATTTTCCGCGTCGTACGCGTTTTAAGAGACTCGTTCAATCGAAATTTAAGAAAGAAAAATTAATTGTTATAAGTCGATAAAGTAGAATATGCGCTGACAGCGTAAACGAGAACTTTTTAGTGGGTTTACAGGTTGGACTTATAGGTTGGATGTAGGTCTAGTAAACGCGACTGTCTGTTGTCAGTGGGAATCAACTGTATGGAGATTACAGAGAAAAAGATTATTTTTTAAAGAATGGAGTCACCACCTGACCTGGAAACTGTTTACCAGGCTGTGTATTCTTTGTATAATAACTCGAATCCTTCGGGACCAGGAAAAACGTCGCAATGGTTGGACGAATTACAAAAATCGGTAAGCTATTTGTTAGCGGTCTTTCAGCCAGTACTACCACATATGTTCTATTCTAATATGTTTTGCACACATCTCACTCTATTGTTATATCGATAGTGCAATCATTGTTACGTATCTATCGAACCAACCATATAAAATAATGATTAAAAAATGTTACCAGATGAAGTAGTTTCTAACCTCACCCTGTACATTCTTGTTCCTCAATTGCAATTTTCGCTTCATTTTACGCGTGATTTACATGTATAAATAGAAATACAGAAAACTTTTTAATTTCAATAATTGTGATATTTACGTATTATTTTAGGTATTCGCATGGAAAATAGCAGATGAAATGTTGCAGCAAAAGCGTGATGTTCAATCATGTTACTTCGCTGCACAAACAATGCGCACAAAAATACAACTATGCTTCCAAGAGTTACCTTCGGATGCTCATATTTCTTTGAGAGATTCTTTAATGAATCACATATCGCAAACTAATGAAAATACAAATTCTGCTATTGTTACACAGGTCTATATGCTTTATAATATTTGGGCAATTACTATTACCCAATCAACAATCAGTCATAATATTAAGAATTATTCTTACAGTTATGCCTAGCACTGGCAGATCTCGCGTTACAAATGTCCTCTTGGCAAAAACCAGTTGTGGATTTAATTAGTAGATACGGCACATCAACTAGTAGTTTGTGGCCGTTACTTGAAGTAATGACAGTCTTACCGGAAGAAGTAAATTCAAGATCTCTCAGGTGAAATCAAAGATCAGAGAAAGTGCTAAAACATATACAAAGTAGTTTAATCTGGTTAAATTAATGTCTAATTCAAATTAAATTATACAGATTAGGAGCCAATCGTAGACAACACATATTACTCGAACTTAATGCGAGCGCAGACACGGTAACAGAATTTTTGGTGAGTCAAATTAGAAGATAAATTTATAATTCATATTGTTGTTGTACAACATAATTATCGGATTCAATTTTCAGAAGCTGTGTTTAAAAAATGGGGGAGACAATGTACAAATTCGTGTTACAATTCTTAGATGTTTTACAAGTTGGATCGCAGTACACGCTATACCCCTCGTACCTACGAGCGACGTTATTGTATATACCCTCCAAGTAAGTTTCTCGAATAACAGTATAATTAACGCGAACTAAGAATTCACTGATGTACGCGTGTTTTAGATACTTGGAAACCACATGATTGGATCTCAATTACACGAAGCAGCCGCGGATTGCATATGTGTAATTTTACAAGTCCTAGAAGAAGATAGTAATAGCAACCGTGATGATAATAATAGCGAGTCAAATATACAGTTACAACAGCTGCAACTATGGCTCTTCACCAGTGTAATGGCTTTGGAGCAACCATACCATTTATCTGTTGCACACGAAGACATGGACAAGTAAACTTTATATTTTAATGTAACAAAAGACACGAGAGAGCTCGATGGTAACTTTACATATTTACTTAGTCATTATAATGAATACTGTTTAGGTCGATAAATTATTGCCGGATTTTTACGGAATTAGCCGAAACATTCTTGGAAACGATGATAAGCGGCTGTGTGGGAGGCAAGCAACATTATGCTATTAAAATTCTTGACCTTGTTTTAGTATGTGTTGGACACCACGATTACGAGGTAAATATTTCGTTTTCTCTTTAATACCAACTCCAGCTATCAGTTATTAAAATAATATTATTTGTATCAGGTGGCACAAATAACTTTTAATCTGTGGTACCGCTTATCTGAAATTCTTTACTTAAAAAACAGTGATGACCTTAACGCGGTGTTCCGACCTCATATGGAGAGATTAATTGGAGCGTTATGTAGGCACTGTCAAATGGAACCGGATCATGTTAGTAATCAGAATGTTCCAAGTGTTGTAGCAATTTTTTTTTGTATTAACATGAAATACAACAATTTCTTTTGATAGCTGGGTCTAGTAGAAGAGGGTGCTGGTGGGGAAGAATTTGCAGATTTCAGAAATCGCGTTTCGGAACTAATTAAGGATGTCGTATTTGTAGTTGGAAGTAGTCACTGTTTCCGACAAATGTTTTCTTCCTTAACGGGTGGTCCTGGACCACAAGGTCAAACAAATCACGTGTCTACGTGGGATTCAACCGAAGCCGCATTATTTGTAATGCAAGCGGTTGCGAAAAACATTTTACCGTTAGTTTCTTCACGTTGTACATAACGTTTGCGCGAAACGTTTCCTTCGACTTGAAATTTATGACAACATTTACTTACAGAAAAGAAAATGACGTTGTTCCAAAAGTAGTAGAGGCTATTTTAAATTTACCCGAAAACACACACGTAGCTGTACGTCATACGAGTATTCTTTTATTAGGCGAACTTTGCGAATGGATAGATAATCATCCTCAGTCCTTGGGTGAGTTTCTAAGTAACTATAATTTATTTCAATGCATTTTTTGCATTACACATTAACGAAAAATGATCTTTCTAGAACCTGTTTTAAACTTTCTCCTGACTTGCTTGAGTCAGAAAGGTTTAGGAAGCGCAGCGTGTGGCGCGTTACTGAGTATATGTACAGCTTGTCCGTTGCATATGGCTTCACACTTTCCAGGACTGTTGCAAATTGCACGTTCCCTTGACAGTTTTGCTATCAGTAACGACGCAGCTATCGGTTTACTCAAAGGTGAGATGACGTGTTATTTATTTTCATAAACAAAATTATAAAATACTTTCTGTTATTCTGCGATAGGCGTTGCAATAATCATGTCTAGCTTACCACGCGAGGAAATCACTCAGGCGATGAAAGAGTTGTGTTGGTTTCAAGCTAGACCTTTATGTGAAATTATGGAACGTAGAATCCCAATTGAAATAGGAACGAAGACTGATCCTGTGATATGGCTAGATAGATTAGCCGCTGTATTTAGACATACCGATCTTCGTATCGAGGACCCTAACGAAACTCATCCTTGTCAAAGTGCAGTCACTGAAGTAAGATTTAGTAACTAGTAACGTGATTAAATCCTTATGATAATAAATGGTTATATATTTGTTATATTCCTCTTATCATTGAATGTAGATGTGGCCGATACTGTCAAATGTATGTACAGCGTATCAACATGACGCAAAATTGATGGAAAGATGCTGTCGTTGTTTGAGATTCGCTGTCCGCTGTGTAGGAAAACATTCCGCCCATCTT